GCACTACGGCCCCATGAGATGCTGCACGGCAACTCCGCGTCGTGACCACCCCTGGCGTTCCTTTGTGACGCCGCGTAGATCGTTCGAACCTGAACGATCGGCGGCGCTGCGATCGCCAGCTCGTCCCACGTTGGCGACTCTAAGCCACTGGCCACGCTCAAACCTTGAACGCCCGCGGCGGGGTCACCGCCACGTCGACACGACGCGAGCCTGCTGTAGATCTGCTATCAGACGACAGGGCCCCACGAGAGAAGATTGGAGATGAGGGTAGCCCCCTGCCCCCAATAATAAAGTAGACCCCCCCCATTATCAGAGCCCCGAATCATCAGGGGTAACTCGGGTCAGGGATAACTCGGGTTCGTTTTTCGGGAATCCAAACCCGAGTTACCCCGGACCCGAGTTACCCCGGATAAATCGGGCGTCCAAGAGCCCCGAATCATCAGGGGTAACTCGGGTCAGGGATAACTCGGGTTCCTTTTTTGGGAATCCAAACCCGAGTTACCCCGGACCCGAGTTATCCCGGATAATTTGGGCGCCCAACATTAACTTCAAGAATATGTATTATCCTGTGTCAATAGGATCTAAGTGTGAAAGGGGCGGCGAGGCCGAATTTTATCATCCCCGGGAGGGGGTGCGAATCCAAGTTGCTATCCTCTGCGTCAAAAACGCTGAGCATGGCAATGGTGGTATCGCCATTTCAGCTTCCGCAATCACGAGCGTGTGGCATCGCTATGGGATTCTCACCAGTTAAGTTTTCCCAAGTCACGAACGCGCGGGAGGGCCATGGGATTATCTTTTTCTCAGCCGTTCCTGAGTCAGGAACGTGTGGTAGGGCCGTGGGGACCGATGGGACTTTGACGTTGCATGCGTTTTTCGAGCAGGTAGAGCCTTGGAGTTATTTGTTTATTCTTCTCGGCGAGACCAGCGCCAGAAAATCCGGACCCTCTTGGGGCATCTGGGATCATCTTCGGGAACAACTGCGTGCGCGAGATGAAACAAGGCATGGGGAATGGACGTCCGAGCGACAGCAAGGCCGCTAGGACGGGGCTAGGACGAGGACGAATCCGTTCCAGAACGTTCTGGAACGCTCTCAGAGCGTGCGTTCTGAGAAGTCCACGGCGCCCGAGACATCCTCCAGAGCCGCCCGACCTCACAGATTCTCGTTTCACTATCCCCCGATGTTGTCCTTGCCATGGGTTCGTCTCAAGCAGGGCCACCTCGATCCCGTATCGCAGGCCTAGAGGTCGACACCAACACCAATATCGGCGGTGTGTCTCCACCGAGGGAAGAAAATCCAGATCTCGGCGATGGTGGTAATATTCTGGCTTCCAAGATGGCCGAAATTATTACCACCAACGCCGAAATCTAGGATCATCTTCCCTCTGTGGAGGCAACCCCCTGTGTTGGTGTTGGTGCCACTTTCCAGGCTTCCAGCCATGGTCCGGGCCCCTCTCCGGCTGGCCCGGCCCAGGTGCAGAGCTGCGTGGCGGCGCTGCCTCCCGCGTGGCCGCCCGCGGGCCGCCGGCCCCCCGCCGGCCGACGGCGCGGGCCTGCCCCGGCGGCGCGTCGCGCGGGGCGCTTCCTGTGACGCGCGGGCGCCCCAAGCAACTCCACCTCCTCCTCCGCCTCCTCCTCCTCCACCTCCTCCTTCTACCTCCTCCTGAGCGGCGCGGGCGGGCGCGCCAGCTCGCGCCGGCTCGGATATGATCGAAACTCAAGAGACGGCGGTCGCCTGTATAGGCCCGCCAGAGAATGGTCTGAGAACATGTTGTGGTCTTCGCGGAATGTTCTCAGAACATTTCTGGTTGAGACTGTCTTGTTCGAACACAACGGGTGTATGTTCTAAGAACATTGCTTTCGTTCGTAGAACTTTTTTGGGTCCTCAGGAAATATCGTGGTAGGCCTATAGGAATGCCGGGACGGTCGGTCCCTGCTCAACAAGAGACGGCGGTCAATGCAAACGGGGGTTGGTCGGAACGCTATATCCTGGAGCTTGCAGAGCCAGGGTTGCATTGAACCGGCTTCGGGTGCAGCACCTAGCAGGATCTTGCAGGATCCCGCGTCGCCTGATGGACCTGGGTCTGCATTGACACGGTTCAGTAGATCCTCGAGGTGAGCAAAAACCGCGTTCAGACAAAGTTGGGAAGCCCGAAATGGGCAATTACGGAACAAACATGGGCACGGATGCGGCCGGTATCAGTTTCGGATAATTCGTTGTTGGGCATCGTGCCCATTTTTTCTGTACCCATCTCGGGCGATAAAAAAATCTCCTGTTTCAGTCTTCGACCTTCCATGTCTCCAGGTAACGTCCGTCCTCCCATCCGCAGGTTCCGTCCTCCGGAAGTCCGGGTTTGCTCCCCGAGTCTCCGGGTCGTTCCGTGACTTCCTGTGTTGGCCCTTCGAGCTTTTCGGTCTCGCCCACCTCCCCGCCTCCCTTCCGTTGCGCTCCCCGAGAGGGATCACGGGCATCGAAGACATGCGCGTCGACTTTACATCGTGCGTTAGATGCTCCCTTGGGATCCACTGCCGCGGAAAACTACATAATCGTGAGACATTACGACAGGAGCCCTATGGACCCCATCTTTCTGCGCCGTTCTTTGTCCGAGTATTTTCTTTGGGTGGAGGGCAAAGGGTGAAATCGGAAAAGCCGTTTCTCCCAAAACATCGCCACCCGTCAATTTCCCTCTCCCTCGACCTTTCCTTCTCCGCCTCCTGCACCCCCGTTTTTGCCTCCACATCAGTTCCTCGGCCTCCGCCTGCACCTCCTCCTCCAAGGCTGAAATTTTTCCCTCCTCTGCCTCCCGCTCCCCCCTGTCCCCCTCCAACCCCCGCATCATCATCATCCGCCCGCCCGCGCTAATCGCTAATGGCAGCGACCAGGTGACGCATCACCCGGGATCCACGTGCAATCGTCCCTTGACCACGCCCGCGCCGTCGCCAGCACGTCAATTAGAGTCGCCCTCTCTCAATCCGGGCCCCTGTCCCCCATGTCGCCAAGCTGGAGCACGATGGCCCCGCAAACGTGCAACCACGTTCTTCCGAAGCCCGCTCGGGGCTCCACTCGGGGCCACCCCCGCCGCCCTGCGATGGGCCCCGAGTCCCGACCCCCGCCGTTTTTTCTACGCGTTTCCTGCCAAACGGCCGGAGGCGGTTTTAGAAAACCAAGACGAGTTCTAGAACGCTCAACGAAATTCTATAATCCCAAAACGAATTCGAGAACAGCAAAAGTAGTTCTTGAACGCGCAACCAACTTCTAGAATATGTCATCGTAGAACGCGCAAGCAAAAACAAGTTCTAGAACGGCCAAACCCATTCTAGAACGACGAAGTGAATTCTAGAACGCAAAAAACGATTCTAGAATACTGGATTGACATTTCGGGCGCCAGTCGCGTGCTGTTTCGCCCGTCGGGTGCCAGTCGCGTGCTCGCACACCTGCCGTGCGCCAGTCGCGTGCCCGTTCACCTGTCTGGCGCCAGTCGCCTGCTCGGGGGCCCAAAGAGGCAGCCAGCCACCCAACCAACCATCCATCCAACGATCCAGCCCAACACTCGGTCCGCCACTCAACTGACCAGCGAGCCAACCAAGCAATAGCGAGCCACCCGGACCATCAGGGACGGGGCGCCTGTAACATATTGCACAACAGTGCAGACAACGTCAAGAGAGTTCGCGTCCGCCTGCCATCCGCAGATGCGTTGAGCGTGGGTTCGTCGAGGCACGAACAGCCCACGGATATCGGCGGGGCGTCAAAGCCTTGTTCGGAGGACTGCCGGGTGCGAGCCGTCAGCGGTGCCTAATCACGAGCGGGCGCAATCGTGAAGGCGCAGCAAAAGCCAGGCGATGCATATACACAGGCTGCTACAAACACAAGCGTCACCCCTAAAGCCACCCAGCCACGAGACGGATTGATTGCCAAGGTGCAAGAGCCCAGATGGATTTCACCCAAAGCCTTCCATCCTAAGAAAATGCTCAGCTTTTGCCGATCGATCCGCGAGAGCCCGGGGCCTGAAGTATGGGGCGAAATCGCCCAGGAAAATTCGACGCCGGGATCTCAGGCCCCCCCCGCCTTTGTTCCAGGAGCGCATGACCGCCCTTCAGTTTGGCATCGGTCGGACGTGTGTATTTTTTCGGCGATGGGCATCTTGGATCATCTTGCGAAACAAAGAATGGAACACGCAAGATACCAAAAGGTACGGGGAACGGACGTTCGAGCGATGGCGAGTCAGCAGCGACGCGCCTGTGGGGCCCCCAGAGCGGCGTGACACTTCAGCGACGCAGAAGCTGATTCGACTGTGCGGGCATTCGCGCGTGAGCTGCCCGCGTCAGGTCGCGCGTAAACGCCCCCGTTCCCAAGGCAGCGTGCCGCGCTGGCGGCCCGCGAAGCCACCACGCAATCCTCCTCCTCCTCCTCCTCCTCCTCCTCCTCCTCCTCCTCCTCCTCCTCCTCAAGGTCTTTCTGCTCTCTCACGCAAGACCCGTTTCTATTCCCAGCGGCGGGCAAGGGGGGAAGCGCTGAGAAGAAGAAGACTTTCTCACAAGGCTGCGGGACTTCTCAGAAGCCCTCGCGCCGTCTGAGAGGGTTTGCGGATGTCTCCAGGAGAGGCTCATCATTGTTGCTCGGAAGGCCGTGGGCCTCCCGAGCCTTCTGAGGGGGCCCGGCCCGTGGCTTTCCGCCCCCCTCCGATCCCCGGCGGGAGCTTTTGCCGGTGCTTTGCCCTCCGATCTTTCTGCTGCTGGCGTTTTTCTCGCCGCCGATGTTTGTTGCTGGCCCTGATGGTCCGCTACCGAAAATTTCCGGTAGCGCTCCGCAGAGATCGGTCGCTACCGAAATACCGAAAAGTAGCGCCCAATACCGGTATCAGAGCGTTCTGAAACCCGCTATTTCAACGCCCTCAAACGAAGATCCGGTCGCTACCGAAATTCGGGGTGCGTCGAAATCGCTACCGAAAATTTCCGGTACCAGACCATCTCGGGGTGCTTTGCCCTCCGGCCCCCGGCGGGAGGCCACCACCGCGCCGGACAGGGGCCGGGGCCTGCCGGGCGTGACGATGGAGGACCCTTGGCGCCGGGGTCCCCGGCCGGGGCTCCGCCCCATTCGCTTCCCGCGTCTCGGGGGGTTGGCCAAGAGGCGGGGGCGGAGAAGAGGGGGGTGATGACTGTGTGTGTGTGTGTTTATTTGTGTGTGTTTATTTGCGTGTCCCAGGGCCCCTTCCTGCCCCTCCTCTTCTGCATTTTTCCGAATTCCCAATTCCATTTTCTGTTCATGTCTCACAAATTTGTTGTCTGGCTGGTAGACTGATTGCACACCCATGCCCTGCACAGGGCCGAGCAGCCGGCAGGCATGCTCGAGTGGCTCGCTCGCTCCCAGGGCCCCTTCCGTTGCAACGTCGGCGATGCATGGGTGATGCATTGGCGATGCATCGGCGATGCGGCACGATCCTCCGACCACATCTGCCCGGACCAGCGGGCCCAGTGGCGGCGGCGGCCTGGCGAGGTTCGAGCGCGTTCGGGGGCGGCCAAGAGGGGGGGGGGGACTAAGGGGGGGTGGATATCATGGCGTGGGCCATGATATCTCCCTAGATTTCGTGGCGCCTCTTCTTGTTCTATGACGTCCCTGGCCCCCCCGCTGGGCCGCGCACATGCCGCCGGTCATGATTTGCACCCCCCCTCTTGGACCCCCCCCCTCTTGGCCGCTTCCAGAAGAGGGGGGTGATGATCTGCACGAGCGAGAGGGGCACGGAAAGAATGGGTACAATGCCTAACAGCAGTTCTTGGTTCATTTTGAACAGGATTCGCTGTCCCCGCCGCCGCGGCCCGTGTCCATTCGAGACAGAAGGCCGCCTGCCCAACAGCGGCCGCTGTTGGTTTGGGACAACATTTGTTGTTGGGCATTGTGCCCATTCTTTCCGTACCCATTTCGGGCGTCCAAAGATGACTGGAGGGGGATATCATGGCGTCTGCCATGTAGTTCCCAAGATTTCATGGCGCCTCTTCTTATGTCATCACGTCCCTGGCTCCCCCCCCTGGGCCGCGCACGTGCCGCCGGCCATGATTTGCGCCCCCCCCTCTTGGACGCCCCCCTCTTGGCCGATCTCGAATGATGATCGGGGGGATGGGTGGGAGGCGGGGGAAGGGACCGTTTTCCGCAGCATCTTCAGGGGGCCTCGCCTGTCCCCAGAATTGGTGTCTTTTCTCTTGCCCGACGCGGGCTCGATGCGGACTCGACGCAGGTTTGGCGTGGATTCGACGCGGATTCGACACGGATTCGACACGGGATCCGACGAGTCCGACACGGATTCGACACGGATTCGACGCGGATAGGGCCGCGACGGGACAGACAAGGTCCCCCGAGGATGTAACATGAGGATGGGAGGGAGGTGGGGGAGGGGACCGTTCACGCCACGATTCGCGCCTGCGCTGTTTGGGAATGCCTAAGAAAGGCTATCCAGCTGCCTACGGCAAGTCCCGCCACCGTGGTTGGGTTGTGGGTTACGAGCCTGGTGGATGGCCGCTGGAATCTCGTGGAAGGCCTCTCAGGGGCCTCTTGGAGGCAGTTTGGAGGCCTCTTGGGGGCTGTTTGGGGGCCTCCTGGGAGCCGCTGGGGGGGCTCTTGGGGCCTCGTGGGGGCCTCTTGGGAGCCTCTTTGGAGCCTCCTGGGCGCCTCTTGGGGCCTCCTGGGGGCCCCTCGGGGCGGAGGGCTCGGATTTTCGGTTCGCATTTTCTCTCTCTGGGACTCCTTTGGGGACCGTCTTGGTGCGCTCTTAGGTGCTGTCTATCGAAGAATAAAAATGACATAAATATAAACTGTTGGCGCTCCGCGCGGATTTCTTGGATCCGCGCTGGGCCCCACTGGCGGCGCCTCCGGCGCCGCCCCTGGCGGATCCAAGAAATCCGCGCGGAGCGCCAAAAGCTTATGTTTATGTGGTTATTTATTCGTCTAGTCTTGGGGCCCTCTTGGAGGCCTCTTGGGCAGCTTTGGGGTGGCCTTAGGGGCCTCTTGGGCCGTCTTGGAGCGTCGGAAAGCCGAAAAGGCGAGAACGCAACCATCCTTCAAACGCGCAAGGGGATTCAATGATGTGTGCCTCTGGGGGTTCTCTTGGGAGACCTGTTGAAGGCCTCTGGGGGCGCCTTGAAAGCTTCTTGCGCCATCTTGAGGCCATCTTGGGCGTCTTCGAGCGATCGTTCGGCGACTCTGGGCCCTCTTGGACCGACTTGGGGGCCTCCTGGGCCGTCATGGAATCCGTGGAGAGCCCCAGGGAGGGACCATGTCCGCCCAGGGACCCACCGGGAGTATGGCTACTGCTCGCGACGAGGTGCAACCCAGAGGGAGTGGGGGGTGCCCCTTAGAAGATCACAAAAACCCTACCAGGTAGCACTTGGCATTCCAGCACGCCTCAACGTGCCAGGGGGCACGATGGCAGAAGTCTAGACGCTTCGCGTAGCCCCACCAGGTCATCCAGAAATGATGCCCCAGGCGAGTTGCCCTGATCAGGGATGTGCAGGAACATGTAGTGGAAAAAGGGGCTGGAAAAGCCGTCATACCCCAAGAGGAGGAGGAGGAGGAGGAGGAGGAGGAGGAGGAGGAGGAGGAGGGAGGAGGAGGGGAGGAGGAGGAGGAGGAGGAAGAAGAGGAGGAGGAGGAGGTGGAGGAGGGCGAGCAGAAAGACCACAGGCCTCTTGGATGCCTTGCGGAGTCCCTTCGGATGCCTCTCGAGCTTCTTGAGGGCTTCTTGGAGAGTCCTGCTGCCGCGCCCCGTGGGCCCCCTCTGAGGTCGCGGGGGGCCTCCTCGGGGCGTGTCTTGGATGCCTCGGGGGAGCTTTGGGCCTCTTGGGGGCTTCTCTTGTCGGGGGAGCGTAAGACCCGGGTTTGCCGGGACTCGGGTTCGCCATCGTTTTTGGACGACCGCGACTCGGATTTTGACGAGGGGGGGTTTCGTGGGATGTCTGCAGCGGGAGGCCTCGTCAAAATGCAGGCTCGGCCTCGTCATTTTTTTGACGACCTCGTCGGGGATTTCCGAGTCCCCCGTACCCGGGTCTTACGTTTCCCCGATCTTGGGAGCTTCCGGGGGACCTCTTGGGGGGCGGGTGGAGGCGAGGCGAGGCCGAGCGCGGGCGCTGTCGCGAGCAATACAGAGGTGGGCTCCCTTCCGGGCAGCGCTGTACACCCTAGGCGATGCTTAAGAAAACTTACGTGTTCGGCCAGAGTCTCCGACTATTCTTAATGTTTCAATGTAAATCTTACGATTTTAATAGATTTTCATTTTTTATATCAAATTCTGGGATTCTGAATTTCTTAACCCATGATTTCTTAAGCATTTCGCAGGGTGTAAGGTTCGAGGTTCGTTTCGGGGACCATCTGGGCCTGTCTCACAGATCGTGTTCGATTCCAGTAGTAGGAATGTAATTCGATCCCAGCTCGAGTCAAGTTCTGCTCAAGTCGACGGACGTTCGATTCAGCATCAACGCATGAGAGGAGCGAGGGCTCCAGGATGGTCGCCGGGTCGAGCATCTAACTCAGGGAGGTCACCACTAACGAGTGTCACCAACTCCTTTCAGAAATCGAGGATCGAGGAGGATTGGGATCGAGGATCAGAGAGGTTTCGAACGTTTCCGGGCGTCTTTGGGAATCCTATGGGGTTCTGGGGTGTCCAGACTTACCCGTTTCGTGAATTACGTTGCATCTTCGGGGGGGCCTCGCCTGTCCCCAGAATGGGTGTCTTTTCTCGTGCCCGACGCGGGCTCGATGCGGACTCGAGGCGGATTTTGCGTGGACTCGACGCGGATTCGACACGGAATCAACACGGATCCGACGAGGTTGATATGGATTGGACACGGATTCGACGTGGATAGGGCCGCGACGGGACAGACAAGGTCCCCCGAGGATGCAACATGCAGTGGAGGCCCCTGCCAAGAAACACCCTGCTTGCCTCCAGGGTGCCCTGGGTTTCTTGGGTTTCGATGGTGTTGCGACGGAAGGCGTGACGTCCCCACACCAGAAATTAACGGACGGCCTGAAGTCTCAGGGTTGGGTTTCTTGTTGAAGGCTTCTTGTGGACTGGCCTCCACTGTGACCCCCTCAGTGGTGACCCCCCTTAGTGACTGTTTGGCCTTTCTGGCGGTGCGCGCTAGGGGGTGGCGCGAGGGCGGGGGGCCTCAATGGAAGGCCGGGGTGCCTCTCGGCAGGGCCTGCCGGGGCTCAAGAGACGGGGGTCAGTGCAGACGGGGGTCGGCCAGAGCGCCCGATCCTGCAGGATCTTGCAGGGCCAGGTGCGCGTTGACCCGGGTTCGGGTGCAGGATGGTGCAGGATTTTGCAGGATCTTCCGCCTTGGCCCGGGTTTGGGTTCAGGATTCTGCAGGACCTTGTAAGGCTTGACTGACCCGGCTTTGCATTGACCTGGGTCAGACGATCCCCGAACCTGGAGGCATTCAAGAGGCCTTCTGAGATGCCAGGACGGCCTCTGAAGGAACGCCTGCCTTCCGAGAATGCGGTAGCAAATCATGGGGGCCGTGTGTACCCTCGTAATTCCGTCTCTAGCGTCGATTAGCGTCGATTCGCAAAAGCCGACAATATGGTAATTACAGGAGGCTCCCATGAGTTGCCACCAAACGAGAAGCTCTTGAAGTTTCTTAGAAAAACGCTCCCTCGCGGTTGTGCCAATCTGCTATCGACGGCGCCTTCCCGCATGACACTACCCGCCCGTCGTGAAATCAGAAAATGCAAAAAGGGCTCCATTTCCCGTGCCTTTGAAATCTCTGCCTCCCCCTCCTCTCCCTTCACCCTCCCTTTTCCGTCTGCTCCTCCGACTCCGCTTGCTTCCCCACCTCCCCCTCGCTTGCACCCCTTTCCGAGGCTGATATTGGACCGTATCGTATTCACCGTCTGGGAAAGCGCGTTGTTTGCTGGACATCGGCAGGCGGTGGATATGGATATATTTGCACCCCGGGGGGGGCCCAACACATCCACCTCCACCGCCCCCCTGGCATCCCAGGGCATCGTTCCCTCGGGCGGTGGGACATGCATAAATCCTCGCCTCGCACCCCCTCCTTCACCGCTCCAATTCCCCTCCTCCCTACTCCCCTGAGATCTGACGTCGCGGAGAAATAATGCAACATCGCGGAGCATCTCACGATTAGAGCCCTTGTTTCTACGCCTCTTAGATGGGGTCGGAGTAGATGAGGTCGGAGGATCGCGCCGCATCGCCGATGCATCGCCGATGCGGCTCGATGTGCAGCCCGATGTGCCTCACGTCGACGTCGCCGATGCATCGCCGATGTATCGCCGATGCGGCTCGATCCTCCGACCCCATCTGCTCCGACCCCATCTAGGAGGCCTCTATTGACGGCGCGTCTCGAGCTTGTGCCACTCGTAAGGGCCTTGGGCCCGAATGTCTGGGCGAGTCCGCTCGGTGTGCAGAGGCTGCGGCGCCGGGACCTCGGGGCCCCCACGAGGCAGGCCCCGCCCGACTGGCCCTGGGCGCCTGCCCCGCCGCGCCCCCCTCCCCGGCGGCCCGCCCTGCGCCGCGCCACCTGGTCCGAGGCCGGAATCTGTCCATAACCACCGCCTGGGGGATCGACCTTCGCAGACCTACTCCTCCCTCTCCTCCTCCTCCTCCTCCTCCTCCTCCGCCTCCTCCTCCTCCTCCTCCTCCTCCACCTCCTCCTCCTCCTCCTCCTCCTCCTCCTATCAGTCCGTAGCCACTTTGGCTCTCAAGCCGTGTTGGCCCAAACTCGAGGTCGATCAGATTTGCGTGGGCTCCTTAGTGGCAGCTGCACTGCTTTGACCACCATGGGGGTGCAAATGTCTGAGCCATCATAATGCCCGATCGATGAATCAGTCTGATTCTATGACACAGGAGCCCGCGCTGGAGGTTGAGAATTTCGGTGGCGACGAGAGACCGACAGTTGTCTCGCAGGGCAATGTCGATGGCAGCCATCGCTCTCCATTTTGCATGCCCACTCGGTATTGTGACGTCGAGTCAGTGAGCATCCAGAAACTCGCCAGAGCCTTGCGAAGAGAAGTAGGGGATGGCCTTCCTCCTCCTCCTCCTCCTCCTTCTCCTCCTCATCCTCCTCCTCCTCCTCCTCTTCCTCCTCCTCCTCCTCCTCCTCCTCCTCCTCCTCCTCCTCCTTCTCCTCCTCCTCCTCCTCCTCCTCCTCCTCCTCCTCCTCCTCCTCCTCCTCCCCCCCCTGCCCCTCCTCCTCCTCCTCCTCCCCCCCTGCCCCTCGTCCTCCTCCCCCTCCCCTCCCCCTCCTCCTCCTCCTCCTTCTCCTCCTCCTCATCATCATCCTCCTCCTCCTCATCCCTCCTCCTCCTCCTCCTCCTCCTCCTCCTCCTCCTCCTCCTCCTCTCCTCTCCTCCTCCTCCTCCTCCTCTCCTCCTCCTCCCCCCCCTCTTCTCCTCCTCCTCCTCCTCTCCTCCTTCTCCTCCTTCTTCTCCTCCTCCTCCTCTTCCTCTCCCTCGACAGGCGGTGGATATGGATATATTCGGGCCCCCGGGGGCCAGCACCAACATGTATCCATGTCCACCGCCCGCCGGGGCACCAGGACGTCGGTTCCCAGGCGGCGGATGCGGATGAATCCCCGCCTCGCACCCAGATACCCCGCGCGACTTTGCTGCGCGCTTTCCGCTCCGCCTCTCCTGTCTTCTCGCGCTCCCGCGTGCCCGTCCTCGCCATCCTCCCCCTCCGTCGTCTCCTGTTTCGAGGTCTCGCGCTCGATCTGCGATTCGAGTGGAGCGCCAGCATGTCATGCCCTCGCAGTGCCTTTCCTGCGTCCCTGCTGTCGCACCATGCTCGCATTGCCCCGTCCACGGACGAGTGGGCCAAACTGTCCAGTGACGGTTAGCGATGCGTGTGCACTGTCTGTTGTTCTTCATCGCGGATTGCCCCAATGTTGTGGCGTTGCTGCCCTCTCCCATTCCTGGCCCTGTGCCCCCTGGGCGGCGCCGAGTCTGGTTGAAATTGGTGCACTCGGAGGCAGGGTGCTCCAACTGGTGGGTATTCCCTTCCTCTCGGGCGACGAGAAGCCCAGCTGAAGCAAGTCTGGTTGGGGCGCCCGCCGCGCCCGGAGCAGCCCCCCCTGCAGATCCGAGGGTCTCCGCCTGGTAAGCCTCCTGGCTAGAATGAGCCACTCTGTCCCGACCGCCCTCTCTTGTTCATGCGGGTCTAGAATGAACATGAATCATCCTACATCGCTCCAACGCCACGCGCCGTACGAGGGAGGCGTCAGAGCATGCAGCGATCTGTTTGTACAGCTTACCTTGCCTTGATCAGCAATGTTTCCAATAATATGTTTGTACCGGTTCGCTGGACAGCCTCTTCGACGTACTCTCGAGAGATACGAGCACGGAGTGCCCAAGAGACGCCTGACGCATTTGGCATGGAAGGCACCCTACCGCTGCTGGTCGGCTAAGCAGCCATATATGATCCAAAACATACAAGTGTTTGCTAAGAACGCAATCTCCTCAGAATGCGTCGTTGCGCTTTGGACAACGATTTGAATGCCCCGGTGGCTTCTGATGATGCTTTTACGTCGCATGTAATAACCCAACCCAGATATACTGCGTCTCGCATTTGTCAATATACGCTCCATCTTCCCGAGATAGAATCGAATACGTGTTTATCTGCATGTGTCTTGTCCACTTTTAGCTCTACACCATCTTTTGCGCCTACGTTCACGATCGCGTCTCGCATGTTGCGGAGGTTGCGGCTGCTCTGCGATGCTAACAGTATGTCGTCTGTATGCAATATGTTTCTTTTCGCGATGTACTCCAGATCAGGGTCGTATTGGATGGCGTCCAGCGCGTCGTGCAGCATGATTGTTTGCACTGCAGTCAACAAATAATGTGGCAGGGAGCAGGCCTGAGCTATCCCAGCTCAGGGTTGCCTTTTCTGTCGAGTTCGCAGCGCTGTCCACAATATTGAAATAACGAGCATCACAGATGGACCCACTCATTGCCACCATAACCCATGTGGTTACCTTCTCGGAGTGCAAAGCGACGCAAAGGGTCGCACGTCCAAGGTGGCTCCAGTCGGTCGACAGTTGTTGCTTAGACCGGCATGACCAAAAGCATATTGCCGTTGTTATTGGAGTAGGCGGCATCACCCATGCGTCGGATGAGTTTCAAGGCATCTTGCTTGCTTCGCTTGGGTCCAAAGCGAACTAGGAGCCCCGCGTTCTTCAACAGTCATTTCCATACATTAACGTTTGGTGTATCGTTGACGTCAAATGTTTGCAATCCACTGCTAGCAGAGATACTGGCCGATAGTTTGCCGGCAAAGCTGTGCCTCCCTTCTTGGACAATCGAACCACGTTTGCCCGTCCCCAAGAATTTGGAATTTGTTATCATGCCCATCATTGCTTGCATGTTGAGAGAAAGTTTCCGCACGCATCTGGACATATGAAACGACGTTCAAAAGTTTGGCGTATACCATCTGGGCCAGGGGGTCTGCCGCGACGTAATTCGCGCACGGTTGCAGACAGCTCCGACAGCGTGAAGTTGTGCGTGGCAATCGGCAGAACATCTCCCAACGGCTCGCGTGCCTTTGGTTCCTGGTCTGGAAAGCGAACTTGCCATTGGACGTTTTCGAACTAATCAGCCAAGACGTTCGCTCGATCTTTTTAGTGTCTGCCAAATTCCCATCTGGCCGTTTGATGTGTCCTGGATGATTCTGGGTTCTTCGAGGTGTCGAACGGCGTCCCAATCGTTCAGCCGGAATACCCAACCCTACCAATCGGCACGATATTTCTTTCCGGATTTGCGAATACGAGCATGCAATTATTTTCCATGTTGTGGCCCCCTCCAGAGTGTTGCAATATCACCTTCCAGACTTCCCTCCAGACTTGCACATTCAGCAGGGTTTCTGAAACCCTCGACTGCAGTTTGACTGCAGAGGTCCTGGTGCTATCGTGCAGCCGTCGTGAAGGTTTGAACCGGAGAAGGCACGAGGAGGGGTGGGTAGTAAAAGGGCGAGAAGGAGGCGGAGCAGGAGGAGGAGGAGGAGGAAAAGGAGAAGGAGGAGGAGGAGGAAAAGGAGGAGGAGGAGGTGGAGGAGGAGGAGAAGGAGGTGGAGGAGGAGGAGGAAAAGGAGCAGGAGGAGGAGGAGGAAAAGGAGGAGGAGGAGGAGGAGGAAAGAAGAGGAGGAGGAGGAGGAGGAGGAGGAGAAGGAGGAGGAGGAGAAGGAGGTGGAGGAGGAGGAGGAGGAGGAACGAGATGGGGAGGAGCGAGATGGGGAGGGGGAGCTGCGCAGCCCGCAGGACGTGCTCCTCGGGTGCGTGGTTATCGAGGGCCTGGCCAGGACCGGAGCGCCCAACCTTGGCCTGCGGGCGCGCGCGCGCCTCTTCTCGGGGGCGGCAAAGAGGGGGGTGATGACTAGGGGGGGGTGGATATCATGGCGGGGGCCATGATATTTCCCCAGATTTCATGGCGCCTCTTCTTATTTCATTACGTCCCTGGCCCCCCCGCTGGGCCGCGCACATGCCGCCGGTCACGATTTGCACCCCCCCCTCTTGGACACCCCCCTCTTGGCCGCTCCCGATCCTTCTTTCTGGGCCGAAGGACGAGTCGTTTAGCTTTCATGGCACGAAACGTGAGCATCAGCAACATCGAGCAGTGCGGGCTGGAGTGCTGGCAGGGCGATCGTCGTGCATGATCGCTGTGGCGTCTCCAGGAGAGCCTCCGTGAGAGGCGGTGGATTGCCCTGGACTTTCTTGCCCCTGGATGGGCGTCTGCCTCTTCTCTTGCTCTTGACCGCCGTCCCCCCCTCGGGGGCAACTTCGGCTTACGGATCTCTTGAATGCCAGGCGCGGCTCTGTCTCTTTGGAGGACGAGGCTGGTGCTTCAGTCTAATATGTTGTTGTTGCTGCTGCTGTTGTTGTGGTTGTTGTGGTTGTTTTTTTGAAATTTCACTTCTGGAAAATATGTTTTGTTGATCCCCCCACCAGTGAATACTGTTTTTTCTCAATCAAAGTGTGCCTCTCAACGCTCACACTTTCTTGAGGCTCAAAATAGGCCCCTGGCCCCCGGATTACAACAACAACGGCTCCCGCCCGAGACTTCCTTACAATTTAGCCAGGACCCCCGCTCCCGCCCGAGACTTCCTCGCATTTTATTCAGGAATCGCGCTCTCGCTTGGGACTTCCTTACAATTTATGCAGGAGTCGCTCTCCCGGCGCTCTGGAGTCGCTCTCTCGCTGGAGACTTGCTTGCAATCTACTGAAAAATAGCGCCCTTGCGTTGCGCCGACACCCAGGCACCCAGGAGTCGCGCTCACGCCTAGGACTCCCTCGCAGATTACCTAGGTATCGGGATCTCACTGCCCTTCATGGCCCCGTTGCAGCCCTTCGTGGCCCCCTCGTTTTGTTTCGTGGCTCCGTTGCAGCCCTTCGTGGCCCCCTCGATGCCCTTCGTGGCCCCTCTGTCGCCCTCCGTGGCCCCCTCGCTGCCCTTCGTGGCCCCGTTGCTGCCCTCAGTGACCCCGTCGTTGCCCTCCGCGGCCCAATATACGTATGCCCTTCGTGGCCCCCGCTCGTTCGCGCCCGTGGTGGCCCCATATGCATGCCCTTCGTGGCCCCGCTGTCGCCGTTTGTGGCCCCCTCAATGTCCTACGTGGCCCAGGTGCTACCCTCAGTGGCCCCATCTTTGCCTTCTGTGGCCCCGCATTATCTGCCCTTCGTGGCCCCCCGCTCGTTCGCGCCCGTGGTGGCCCCATACGCATTCCCTTCGTGTCCCCGCTGTCGCCCTTGTCGGCCTACTTCGTGTCCTTGTGGCCCTGCTGTCGTTTTCTCTCGCTTTCGCTCGTCGTCGCCGTCGTCGTCGACGTCGTCGTCGTGGTCGGTCTCCTATCCGTCCCTCTTGGGTTCGGGTCGACGGTCCGCGGCCGCCCCGCCGATCAGCGTTGCCGCTGGCCAGGCCGACGGTCCGCGGCCGCCCCGCCGCTTGCCGGGGCCCGGCCTGCATGGAAGAAAGGTATACCCCCCCAAAGGGGCTCGATCGAAGACGAAGAGGGCGGGTATCGAGGGTTTGGGAAATACGCGTTGTTGGACACTCGACCAGATAAGGGGCGAACAGTCTTAACATGATGGTTGTTGTTAGTAGTATTGTCGTCATTGTTATTGTTGCAGTTGTTATTATTGTTGTTGCTGTTGTTGTTGTTGCTGTTGCTGTTGTTGTTGTAAGTGCTGTTGGTGTTGTTGTGGGTGTTGGTGTTAGTGATGGTGATGGTGTTGGTGTTGGTGTTGGTGTTGATGGATGTTGGTGTTGGTGTTGGTGTTGGTGTTGGTGTTGGTGTTGTTGGCGCTGGTGCTGCATCACTCCCTCCATGCCTGCGTGAGCGCGACCGTTGTGGACACGCTTCTGGCTCCCTGGAGTCTCCCCCTTTCTTCCTTGGCCTCCCTTCCCTCCGTTCCCCCCCCCCCCGCGTGCCGGGCACGTGCACGACTGCACGGCGGGCACGCGCAGCCTCTTCGAAGCCTCCGAGGCTGCACCTGCGCAGTGTGGCGGAGGGCCCGGACTACATGTGGGCAGCTTCTCCGGAGGGGGAGGGGGGAGGGGGGAGGGGGAGGAGGAGGAGGAGGAGGAGGAGGAGGAAGGAGGAGGAGGAGGAGGAGGAGGAGGAGGAGGAGAAGGAGGAGGAAGAGGAAGAGGAGGAGGAGGAGGAGACGGAGGAGGAGGCGGAGGAGGAGGAGGAGATGAAGAAACTACGAGAAGCCTTCAGCAGCAAGCTTCCAATCGAAGACGAATCCATCCCAAGGGGCGCTCGAACACTTTCCTCACGTGGCCCAGTGCAGGGCAGGGGGAGGGGTGCCCCCTCCCCGCGCAAGATGATTCCATGGAGCCGCCAGGGTCATGCAGAAAGTGGGCTGGTCCGCTTTCTGCAAGCTCTTGTGATGCGGAACATTGTCAGGCGATCGCAAACATGGATCAGGGGGGCGGGGATTAGCGACGGGTCCCGCTTCCATGGTAAATCGCAGATTTCCGCCGCCGAGCGAGGCGGCACCAGCCGCCTTTGGGGGAGGGCGCCTCCCCCGATCCATGGATTAGGCGACCGCTTGCCAGATCCATGGACCGCTGATCCACGTTTGCGCGCCCCCGACCTGAGGAAGTCCAGCATGGAAACAAAAATGGAGAGCCCTCGTGTCACATTATGCCTTTTGTTTTTTTTGTTCTCTCTCTCTCTCTCTGTTTCTCTCTTTTATCAGGGTCCGTGGCCGCTCCGTGCCGTTTCCGCGCCGACCTCGTGCCCCCACGTCCCTTGTGTGCTGTTCTGCCGGCGCGGGGCCCGTGGAAGCCGACGGGCGCCGTGCGAGCGGAGTCGCGACGGAAGGGGAACGAAGGCGAACGCCCGGGCGCAGCGCGAAGGCTGCCAGCAGCGCGTGCGCAACCTGCGGCAGGGCGCTCGGGGTCGCGGCGCGGGGCCTCCACGGCCCCCGGGCCTCCCTCCTCCTCCTCCTCCTCCTCCTCCTCCTCCTCCTCCTCCTCCTCCTCCTCCTCCTCCTCCTCCTCCTCCTCCTCCTCCTCCTCCTCCTCCTCCTCCTCCTCCCCCCTCCTCCTCCCTCCTCCTCCTCCTCCTCCTCTTCCACCTCCTCCTCCTCCTCCCTGGGCGCCGGGGGCGGTCGAGAAAACGGTTCCGGGGCGCGCGCACGCAGTTGGGGGCCCATGCAGAGAAGCAGCCTGCTTGCCTCCAGGGCTCCCTGGGTTTCTCGGGTCTCGATGCTTTGGCGATGGAGAGCGCGGCGCTCCGAGACCAGAAAGATGTCCATGGGCGCCCTGGGGTCTCAGGGCTGGGTTTCTTGTGGGAGGTTTCTTGTGGTCGGGACCCCGCTGCAGCGGGGGTCAGCTCCAACAGGGGCTCGGCAGATCCCCTCTGGTCGGCCCGTGTTTGGGCTCCACGCGGAGTCGAGCCGACCCCCCCCCCCTGCCCGCTCCACCGTCTCGGGGGCGGCCGAGAGGGGAGTGATGACTAGGGTGGGGGGATATCATGGCGCGGGCCATGATAGTTCCTCAGATTTCTCGGGTGATCGCAGACATGGGTCAGGGGGGGCGGGGATTAGCGACGGGTCCCGCTTCCATGGTAAATCGCGGCTTTCCGCCGCCGAGCGAGGCGGCACCGGCCGCAGTTTGGGGGGGGCAGCTCCCCCGATCCATGGATTACGCGACCGCGCGCCAACCTTGGATCGCTAATCCATGCTTGCCCGTCCCCGAACTTCATGGCCCCTCTTCTTATTTCATTACGTCCCTGCCCCCTCCCCCCCCTGGGCCGCGCACATGCCGCTGGCCATGATTCGCGCCCCCCCCCCTTCTTGGACGCCCCCCTCTTGGCCGCCCCCGACTGTCCCAGGTTTGGGAGGTGCTTCTCGGCTTTCCCGGGACCGTGACATGGCACTGGTTGACGTCGGCCCGGGTTGGCGCGTCCCCGACGGCCTGGGGTGGGCATCCAGCCCGCGGACGGGGCCAGCACCTTCAAACGGGGCCCCGCAGTGAGCCAAAGCGCAGTGTCGGAGTTTCGGGGTAATGGCAAGGGGATGAGGAAGTTGGAGAGGAAGAGGAGTAGGAGGATGCACAGGAGGAAGAGGAGGAAGAGGAGGAGGAGGAGGAGGAGGATCATCATTATCAGCATCAGCAGCATCATCATCATGAGCATCATCAGCATCATCATCATCATCATCATCATCATCATCATCATCATCATCATCATCATCATCATCATCAAACACAGCAACAGCATCTTCAACAACATCAGCAAGAACACCCACACAAGCACAACACATACAACAAACAACAGCAGGAGCACTGGGGTGTGAGGAAGGGACGAGAACACGGGGGCGGGAGATCCTCCCTCCCCTCCCTTCTTATCCCTGCCCTTTTCTCCCGCTATCCTCCCCTTTTGACCAATCCTTCTGCTCCTATTCTGGCCTCTCGCATTTTGCCGCCGTCTGCTGCCGCCTTTGGGTCGAGCTGTTTGCGCCAGCGGCCACGACGTCGCAGGGCTTTGCGGATCAGTGCGTTGTGCTCAAGTCGTTTGACTGTTTCGAGAGGGCCTCCCGTGTGCACCAGCTGTCGAAGCTGTGGAGGCATCGGCTTCCGGCTCCGAGGGCGAATGATATAGCGTCTTCTACATGGAATTGAGTAGGCCGATCCGCACCAGCAACATGGACAACTCCTGCCGCTTTTCGTCCGGTCCCCTCCATCCGATCTTTCTTCTCTTCCTCCTCCTCCTCCTCCTCCTCCTCCTCCTCCTCCTCCTCCTTTTGCGGGAGGGGTTCGCGGCCCTCACCAGCTCGTTGCTTCCTGGCGCGGTGCCAGG